TCATCTACCCTGGTATCCCAAATATAGAGGTATCTCGGAGACTGAAGTAAGCCGTCTTATGGTACTTGGATCTTCCTGTCCCTCAAAGCTTCTACCATCTGCTAGGAAAATACAAAGCATTCTAACGCAAGAGTATGGGACCTCTGATGCTCGTATGGGTCCATTTTAGTGACGAATTTCCTCCTTCAAAAGGCCGCCCTCGGCAAACACAATATTGAACTCATTCCTTGGTAGCAAATTTCTGCCACCTTCAGAATCCTTATATCGATTCAATTCGATCTTTAGATCAAATTTGGCCGTCATAAGTGGCACAGTATTGGGTTAGCATCCATCCTTCCAAACAGCCTCTGATACCGTCTTCCCAAAGTGGCTAAAGATGCACAGAACACTCAACTCCCTGTTCCAATTGACTTCATATGATATAAGAACAGAATCTCTGGCTTACTCAATTATTCGCTGATACTCGCGCCATTCAACCGGACCTACTTAGCCAATGGTATCTTTTTCTTGCCTCTTTGCAGCTACTAGACCATTCTCACGATGCCCAAGTAAGCAGGGTATCGTCCTAATAGTACCTCGAAACTTCAACTTTACCTCAAAATGAGGGCCTGACAATGTGGCGTCCCGGTAACGAAAGGCACCTTCCCCTGTGGACGGTCTAACGGCACCCAACCAGTCACAAAGTAAACCTTTTATTTCTCTATCTGATCCCATGCAATTTCCAGTTCTATTGTTTTGGACATTGTCGATGTATGTAGAAGCCTTGCCAAGACATACGGTAGACATGTTGACCGCATAGAAAATGAAAGCAACCAGTGGATTAAGAGCGGCTTTGAAGTGCTTTCACAGTTGGATAATAGTAAGCACCAGAGACCGCGGAAAGAACTGTCAATAAAGCTGGAACAGGACCTTTGGTGAATCGAGGGAGTGAAGAAAGGAACAAGATAGCCGAGGCCCCTAGTGTATCGCATTAGTCATGTTATTTAAATATTAAGAAATTTGAAATGTCAGAAGGAGTAAGTGTGGGCCAATTGCGCATCCACGTATACCGGCAACACAACTTGTTCATATCCAACACTCACCAGCTGCTCCATAGTAACCTCTTGGGTCATTGTTGAGGAGTATTCCTCCAGACCACAGGTATAGTGCTCCAACAGTCACACCAGCGATTAAAGACGGTTTCGAGCCTGTTCTCAGGAAGCCGGTTATGCCACCTGAGATACAGGCTACTCCCATGAGGATGGACGGATATGGTGAAGTCTAAAGAACAACCGTGATGAATTGGTTTTATTTAATTTTTGTGAAAATATTGTAGACGGACGCACTCACCATGTTGATGGATACGGACGAAAGGAAGATCGTGTGCAACGAGCGCCCATCCCACATCATTTGTTTGTTCTCAACTCACGCCTCGCCACCATTAACCATTATCTCTAAAGCTATCCATATCACAACCTCTTCATACCCTCATCTCATAAACATCAACGACAGCAGAATAAGACACCTCACGGAGATGACAACTACGAATCCGACTTACTTCTCGAACCACTCTCAACGCTTCACGCCCCTGCAGACCAATAGTTCTTCTCCTGGCAATGCGACAGGACAGGAACACAAGACAGAAATTGCTAAATCATCTCACTTTTCTAATAAGATCCTACAGTCTGGTAATGCCAACGGCGGAGAAATGACTGTCCATCCATTACGGCATACGTATGTATTTTCTCTTCGTTCAGCCTACCGTTGCTCTATATTCGTACAAGACTGACTCTCAATGATGTTGACATAGCTGGGTGTTCTGGTTCCAACACCGTGCACCAGGCAGCAAGACCTCCAATTACGAATCAGGAATCAAATACGTCTCTTCCTTTTCTTCCATCGAGTCCTTTTGGTCTCTTTTCACACACCTTAACTCGCCTTCCTTACTCTCACCCACCACCGATTACCTCCTCTTCCACTCTGCAGTCAAGCGGCCAGTATGGGAAGACCCAGTGAACGAACGAGGTGGAAAATGGATCATAAGGCTAAAAAAGGGCGTGGTCGATAGAATTTGGGAACAGATCGTATTGGCTGTCATCGGAGACCAGTTTATGCCCGAGAAGGGTACCGGCGCAAAGAATGAATACGGGGTGGAAGACAATTGGGCACCCGATGAAATTTGTGGATGTACCGTCAGCGTAAGGAGCAATGAAGACATACTGGCAATTTGGCATAAGACTGGGAACGATGAGAATATCAGACTGAGAATTCGGTAAGGCTCTTCTTATTGACATTTGACAGGAAATTCCCTCTAACACGCAATCTATTAGGGATATCATTCGAAAAGTACTGCAGCTATCTTCAGGCACTATATTGGAATATAAGTCGAATAATGGTGCGTCAACTAATCCACACAATCTCAGAGCTAGGTTGGGCTGATGAAGGGTGCAGACTCGATGCAGGATAAGAGTAGTTTCCGTACAACACCTAGTGTAGAGCGCTTCCAGCCGTCAATGGACAGGGCTTGAAGTCTTATTTTCACTCAATTCACGCGTGAATGAAGTAAGACTAGGGTAATCCCATATTCGTGTTTCAACTATAGAGGTCCATACACTACAAGGCACAGAGATACAAGGAAGTCCATGAAGATTTGAGCGAGAGTTTGAGATTATAATGTGCCTAATATCTGCGGCGACGCGCATTAGCTCTCTTTCGAGATGCACGGGAGGTTTGGTGGATGCCCAGGGTGCGCTCGATCTTCTTGGTGAGCGGGACATGGGCAGATTGGCCGTGAGCATGAAGTTCATGTTTCGCGTGCTCACGCCCAGCGTGTGTAGTATTCGGGTTCGTCAAGGCAGCCTAGGAAACCGCGATGGCGACGTCAGTCAGAGTTACGTCAACGAATGGGCAATCTGGAAAGGCCTACCCTATAGCCTGCTGTTCTGTTTGCTGGTTTCTTACGACGGAATAGCCCAGTCAGACCAGTGTTCTTGCGGCGCCTGCCCGTGGTCGTCGTGCCGCGAGCACGGGTATGGTGATTGCGAGGAGAGCGACGAAGGCCAAGCTGGTTGAGGAGAGACATGACGTTTATCAAGTTGTTGTTTATCTGGTAAGTGTGGTACGAGAGAGAGAAGGGTCGGGAGAGGGCCCCTTTTATGCGCTTTCCCCTGCGAACACGATGACGCAGCGGTCACTGGTTCTGATTGTGGAGCCTAAACCGTATATGGTCGGTGAGCATGACATAGACTTTGTTGAGGTCATATCTCGGATTGCTTCTGACTTTCTGACTTCTGAATTTCTCCGACCTATAAGTACCCACGACGTTCTCGATGGTAGGAATTGTACTTTCGCTAGATTTGATGCTGCGCATGGGTCGGTGAAACAAGATAATTTGGTTTAAAGGTATTATTTGCGATATCTTTAGAGTATGATATGGAAAAGTATCTCTGGCGACATCTTGCAACCGGCTTCCTGCCACCAACGAATCGCCTCTCCTTCCAACCTTTCAGTACGATAGGTCATGTTATTCATGATTCTGTAGGATACTCCCCTATAGCACAATCTGATCTAGATTACCGGTATCGATGCAATACAAACTTAGTCAGGCTCCAAATATCGCCGCCTATTAGAGGGGTGAGCTGGATGACAGTCAGGGTTTAACCACTCACCCACTCCCGTCTCGAAACATCCCCCAATGTCTCGACCCAGTTCTCCAGAATCGGTTTATCACTCGGCTGAAGATGACAATAGCTTCGATAACGACGATGAACAGACCCTACAGCCGTCTCGGCGACACAACATTATAGCTCCAGAGCTGCCACCGCTCCCGACTTCCAAGCGTTTATTGAAATCGGTTAGGACAGGTGGATTAGATACGGGTTCAGGCACTGTTCGAAATATCATGTGCATCAACGCCGCAAGGCTCCTACTACAAGAGCTGCGCAATAGGAGACTGACTAAGTTTGTATTGCATCGATACCGGTAATCTAGATCAGATTGTGCTATAGGGGAGTATCCTACAGAATCATGAATAACATGACCTATCGTACTGAAAGGTTGGAAGGAGAGGCGATTCGTTGGTGGCAGGAAGCCGGTTGCAAGATGTCGCCAGAGATACTTTTCCATATCATACTCTAAAGATATCGCAAATAATACCTTTAAACCAAATTATCTTGTTTCACCGACCCATGCGCAGCATCAAATCTAGCGAAAGTACAATTCCTACCATCGAGAACGTCGTGGGTACTTATAGGTCGGAGAAATTCAGAAGTCAGAAAGTCAGAAGCAATCCGAGATATGACCTCAACAAAGTCTATGTCATGCTCACCGACCATATACGGTTTAGGCTCCACAATCAGAACCAGTGACCGCTGCGTCATCGTGTTCGCAGGGGAAAGCGCATAAAAGGGGCCCTCTCCCGACCCTTCTCTCTCTCGTACCACACTTACCAGATAAACAACAACTTGATAAACGTCATGTCTCTCCTCAACCAGCTTGGCCTTCGTCGCTCTCCTCGCAATCACCATACCCGTGCTCGCGGCACGACGACCACGGGCAGGCGCCGCAAGAACACTGGTCTGACTGGGCTATTCCGTCGTAAGAAACCAGCAAACAGAACAGCAGGCTATAGGGTAGGCCTTTCCAGATTGCCCATTCGTTGACGTAACTCTGACTGACGTCGCCATCGCGGTTTCCTAGGCTGCCTTGACGAACCCGAATACTACACACGCTGGGCGTGAGCACGCGAAACATGAACTTCATGCTCACGGCCAATCTGCCCATGTCCCGCTCACCAAGAAGATCGAGCGCACCCTGGGCATCCACCAAACCTCCCGTGCATCTCGAAAGAGAGCTAATGCGCGTCGCCGCAGATATTAGGCACATTATAATCTCAAACTCTCGCTCAAATCTTCATGGACTTCCTTGTATCTCTGTGCCTTGTAGTGTATGGACCTCTATAGTTGAAACACGAATATGGGATTACCCTAGTCTTACTTCATTCACGCGTGAATTGAGTGAAAATAAGACTTCAAGCCCTGTCCATTGACGGCTGGAAGCGCTCTACACTAGGTGTTGTACGGAAACTACTCTTATCCTGCATCGAGTCTGCACCCTTCATCAGCCCAACCTAGCTCTGAGATTGTGTGGATTAGTTGACGCACCATTATTCGACTTATATTCCAATATAGTGCCTGAAGATAGCTGCAGTACTTTTCGAATGATATCCCTAATAGATTGCGTGTTAGAGGGAATTTCCTGTCAAATGTCAATAAGAAGAGCCTTACCGAATTCTCAGTCTGATATTCTCATCGTTCCCAGTCTTATGCCAAATTGCCAGTATGTCTTCATTGCTCCTTACGCTGACGGTACATCCACAAATTTCATCGGGTGCCCAATTGTCTTCCACCCCGTATTCATTCTTTGCGCCGGTACCCTTCTCGGGCATAAACTGGTCTCCGATGACAGCCAATACGATCTGTTCCCAAATTCTATCGACCACGCCCTTTTTTAGCCTTATGATCCATTTTCCACCTCGTTCGTTCACTGGGTCTTCCCATACTGGCCGCTTGACTGCAGAGTGGAAGAGGAGGTAATCGGTGGTGGGTGAGAGTAAGGAAGGCGAGTTAAGGTGTGTGAAAAGAGACCAAAAGGACTCGATGGAAGAAAAGGAAGAGACGTATTTGATTCCTGATTCGTAATTGGAGGTCTTGCTGCCTGGTGCACGGTGTTGGAACCAGAACACCCAGCTATGTCAACATCATTGAGAGTCAGTCTTGTACGAATATAGAGCAACGGTAGGCTGAACGAAGAGAAAATACATACGTATGCCGTAATGGATGGACAGTCATTTCTCCGCCGTTGGCATTACCAGACTGTAGGATCTTATTAGAAAAGTGAGATGATTTAGCAATTTCTGTCTTGTGTTCCTGTCCTGTCGCATTGCCAGGAGAAGAACTATTGGTCTGCAGGGGCGTGAAGCGTTGAGAGTGGTTCGAGAAGTAAGTCGGATTCGTAGTTGTCATCTCCGTGAGGTGTCTTATTCTGCTGTCGTTGATGTTTATGAGATGAGGGTATGAAGAGGTTGTGATATGGATAGCTTTAGAGATAATGGTTAATGGTGGCGAGGCGTGAGTTGAGAACAAACAAATGATGTGGGATGGGCGCTCGTTGCACACGATCTTCCTTTCGTCCGTATCCATCAACATGGTGAGTGCGTCCGTCTACAATATTTTCACAAAAATTAAATAAAACCAATTCATCACGGTTGTTCTTTAGACTTCACCATATCCGTCCATCCTCATGGGAGTAGCCTGTATCTCAGGTGGCATAACCGGCTTCCTGAGAACAGGCTCGAAACCGTCTTTAATCGCTGGTGTGACTGTTGGAGCACTATACCTGTGGTCTGGAGGAATACTCCTCAACAATGACCCAAGAGGTTACTATGGAGCAGCTGGTGAGTGTTGGATATGAACAAGTTGTGTTGCCGGTATACGTGGATGCGCAATTGGCCCACACTTACTCCTTCTGACATTTCAAATTTCTTAATATTTAAATAACATGACTAATGCGATACACTAGGGGCCTCGGCTATCTTGTTCCTTTCTTCACTCCCTCGATTCACCAAAGGTCCTGTTCCAGCTTTATTGACAGTTCTTTCCGCGGTCTCTGGTGCTTACTATTATCCAACTGTGAAAGCACTTCAAAGCCGCTCTTAATCCACTGGTTGCTTTCATTTTCTATGCGGTCAACATGTCTACCGTATGTCTTGGCAAGGCTTCTACATACATCGACAATGTCCAAAACAATAGAACTGGAAATTGCATGGGATCAGATAGAGAAATAAAAGGTTTACTTTGTGACTGGTTGGGTGCCGTTAGACCGTCCACAGGGGAAGGTGCCTTTCGTTACCGGGACGCCACATTGTCAGGCCCTCATTTTGAGGTAAAGTTGAAGTTTCGAGGTACTATTAGGACGATACCCTGCTTACTTGGGCATCGTGAGAATGGTCTAGTAGCTGCAAAGAGGCAAGAAAAAGATACCATTGGCTAAGTAGGTCCGGTTGAATGGCGCGAGTATCAGCGAATAATTGAGTAAGCCAGAGATTCTGTTCTTATATCATATGAAGTCAATTGGAACAGGGAGTTGAGTGTTCTGTGCATCTTTAGCCACTTTGGGAAGACGGTATCAGAGGCTGTTTGGAAGGATGGATGCTAACCCAATACTGTGCCACTTATGACGGCCAAATTTGATCTAAAGATCGAATTGAATCGATATAAGGATTCTGAAGGTGGCAGAAATTTGCTACCAAGGAATGAGTTCAATATTGTGTTTGCCGAGGGCGGCCTTTTGAAGGAGGAAATTCGTCACTAAAATGGACCCATACGAGCATCAGAGGTCCCATACTCTTGCGTTAGAATGCTTTGTATTTTCCTAGCAGATGGTAGAAGCTTTGAGGGACAGGAAGATCCAAGTACCATAAGACGGCTTACTTCAGTCTCCGAGATACCTCTATATTTGGGATACCAGGGTAGATGA